GGTCAGCTGTGGGATAAAAAGAGCTGCTAAAAGTATAAATAACTGTGTTAAATCATTTTCAATTATTCAGAAGCTGCAGCGCTGCACACCAATCTTAGAATACGAAAACATAGGTGAATGCCACAAATTCTCCTAAATCACTCGTACGCACAACTTAAGAACAAATCTGTGCGTACGAACGGTTCTTGCATGAGGCCCATTGTGTTATGGTTTTTATAACAGTGAATCAGGATACAGTCATCGTCCCTTCATGGAAGGATTATTTTTTTGTCACTTGTTCCAAGCTAAGATGCTATGCTAACTGCTGGATTCAAGAGCTGAATTTCATTGGAAATAAGTGCAACCATGGACTAACGTCTGCACCAAGCATTTTATTGGAGGTGAAAGACCAACACCGGACCACTCGGATCCCATCTCTGAACTTTTTGTCAAACAGGTACAGTTAAACCTTATTGTTTTTACTGTAGCCTACTGCTAGCTTTACTCCTAGCATCTAACCAACACTCTACTGCAGTCAGTCCAACATACGGTGATAATATTATAGTTATACAAATTCTAAACATCACCATTAAGTTTCTTTAAACGATGCAGAAGCATCTGTCGAAAACCTTGACCCTACAGCCAACATTTCAACTGAACTTCACTTCCTGGAGTCGTATGTGTCAAAATTCTGCTACAGTATTAACACTGAGTCTAGTCTGACTATTCGATCATTCGAGAGAGAGGCGCATAATGTCTGTAAATGATATGCATGACATCACGGATGAAGGTCCCCATTGTCATCTAATAATCGTCACATTAGTTGTTATAATTTAATGCCGTTGTTTCGGATTAAAAGAAACAACAGTTTGGTATCACTAAATCAACCTTGTGAAAATATGGTGTTCACCCCATGTGACTCATATGGTCATAACTTCATCCCTATATTTTAATACCTCACTATACCAAAAATACCATCATATTCCCAAGCCTAATATCAATATTACCTAACCCTACCTTGGGCCTAATAGAAAAAACAGAATGAGCATCAAAAGGGGGCTGTCATATCTAAACAATAAAACTGAACAATTGAGTGTGAGGAAGACCAACTGGCTGCAGCACAGATGTCACTCAGACACCCCTCAAACAGAGTCCAGGATGTTGTATACTAGTGTAAAATATATTGTGTTCAGTAACTCCGATGTGTGTAACGGATAAGGCAACAAATACAGAGTTAAGACTTGCATGTTATAAGAACCAAAGCCATACAAACTACCCCTCGGCTAGGCTAATAGCCTCAGCCATTTAATCGGACGTGGATCACCTCTGGCAGGAAGTTTCAGCATCTTATCAACAACTCCTTCAGGTTCTGGCCACTCCCTAGAGGCAAGCTGGTTCTTCATGTGACCAGAAACCTTCGACAACAGAGAAAACTGAGTTCTAATGTAAAAAAGTTTACTTGTTGTAAATGTTTCCAGGCATGTATCTACTTTACCTCCTGCTCTGTGTAACCACTTTTAATAGCCTTCCAGACCAGTCTGTACAGAAAATCATAATTTTAATCACAAAAATAATCACACAGTAGTTTATAAATATATCTCATTATTCACCTAAGAAAAAATTACAAAATGTGTGGTGCTTTTAAAAATCAATAAGTAATAGGGTTGGGCAATATTGGCAAATAAATTAATCACGATTAATTGTGGTATTTAGCCGATAACGACTGATTTGACGATTAATCCCCCGGAGTCCCTGGACACCCTTATGTCCTGGTCACATGACCAATTTATAGGGAGAAAATTGGCTCTTCATAAAAATCTGTTCCAAATTGTGTCAAAATTACAGACTTCAGGCTATACATCAAACTTTAAATTGTGTTGATAAATAAATTACACAACGTTTTTAAATGTTTGTTATATTTGAACCAGAGAGGAGCACCAAGCAGTTACGTAGTCTGCCTGGTGGCATTAATCGTATTAATCGTCAAGTGCCAAAAATTAATCGATTAATGTTTTTCTGACGATTAATTGCATTCGATACGATTATGCCCAACCCTAATAAGTAAACAAACCACAATAAATCTCTTCACTAGTATACGTCACAGTATTGCTGTTTACTGTATGAATGTCCCCAAGTGTCACAACAGAGCATACAAATATATGCTATTTCACTGTCCATTAAAAATATGACATTTTTGATGGATAATTGTTGCACTAGGATTCTTTTTTTTTTAGTCTGATTTTGCATCTTCATCCACACTCCACATTTGTCACTCTGCTTACCATGCACTAGATTTGCTGCCCTCAGTAAGAACCGTTTTTTGTTATAGACAGAGCCAGATGTCCCTTTGTGAGCACTTTTTGCCACCAGGTGATGTTGGAGCACACTGAGGATGCATGATAAATGCTGACATGCTTGCTGTCTATCACTGGTCAGGATGATTCAGGATGGCATCACTAGGCCTGTCGCGATAGTCAATAAATCAATTAATCGCACGATAACTTTTTTTTAGGTCGGTTAAAAAAAAGACGGCGATAAGTTTCATTTTCCTGCTTGTTTTTTTCCGTCCTCTCTCTCCCTCTCTGTGCTCTATGTGCTCCGCTACACAGGAGCTCAACTGACCCCTCCCCTCCTGTTTTCTTAGTGTGGGAGGAGTCAACTC